CCTTTCAGCTGCCCCCTGTTAACTTGAATCAAGAGAAAATGAGCCAGGGACTGTATTATCCCTGAGTGTTCTCGTCCTTGGGGAGCAGAGGCTATGCTTCGTAGTTCAGGGTTTCCAGCTTGCATTATTAAAGCAAACACTGCCTTGCCTTCAATGCCTGTCGGGTAGAGCTGAAAAACCCATGACGCACAGACTCACTGCTTGGCTGTGTGTTTGCCTAGGGACCAGCGGTATCCGGGGCGAGCTCGACATGTCCTTGGAGTCAGGGGGGTGATATAAAACTGGACCCAGCTCATCGCGTTTCCAGATCCACTTTGGAGCTGAGGCCCCTGCGCAGGTGGATATTCGCTCGTTAGGAATCAAAAGGAGACAGCAAGGAAGGAAGATCAAAACTTGACGCAGATTACTGAAAGAAGTTAGACGCTCTGAGAAACACGCTCAAAAGAGAAAAAGAAGGAGGTGGTAGTTCCAACCCTGCAAAGCCCTTTTTAAAATGCTAGATTTTTCTTTAAAGTTCTGTGAAGATTGACCGGTAGGGGGGGTGTCTTGAAGGCAACAGTCTTGTCCTTTCTTTCCCAAGAGGAGAAAATCCTGAAGTTTAAAAAAATAATAATAATAATCCAGCGGGGGGGGGGGAGGGGGGGGGAGAAGAAGTTGGGGGGGGGGTTGCTCTCCTTTTAACAATAATGACAGCTTTAGTAAAACATATCTTCCTCCGGCTCTGATATATCTAACACGGGATGAAAGAAAGGAGCAGTCAAGGGGAAAAGACAGGCACCAAATATACAAGCAGGAATAGAAGTGTCTTCTACTTCTCAGCTTCAGGCTGGGCTTGTCTGCCTGCATCAGCCAGCGATGGGGAAAAATCATCTTCATACAAACAGCAAAAGACTAGAGGGGTACACAAAGCCATTCCTTGCCCTGTGCTTCATTTGATGATACTGCTCCAGGTAGTTGGCAGAGGAAGGGGAAAGTGGTGTGGTGGGGAGACGACACAGTGATATAAAACAAAAAGCAAGGAAATCCCTTTGCTTTGTACGGTAGGCACATTGAGCCCAAGATGGAACAAAGCTGAAGGTGGGAAATGTGGAATTCTTCTCTCTTCTGCTGGGAAAATATAATAAATAATTGACTGCTATGGGCCTCCCTTTATCCCTGACCTAGACAGCCCAGGCTTACCTGATCTCGTCAGATTTCAGAAGCTAAGCTGGGTCGGTTCTGGTTAATATTTGGATGGGAAACCACCAAGGAAGTCCAGGGTTGCTATGCCGAGGCAGGCAATGGCAAACCACCTCTGACAGTCTCTTGCCTTTGGAAAACTCGTGGGGTTGCCATAAGCCAACGGCAGTTTGACAGCAAAAAAAAAAGTGCCCTTTAAGGGCCACCCGAAGTCTACCGTAAATGGCAGCCATCTTGTTCTGCCTGCCTAAGAGGCTGCCCCTCACTGAGCAAACACACATCTGCCTTGGGATTCTGACACACAAAGATCTCCAGATCTGAGCTGCTTAATTCCATTTCTGCCCTGTGTCTCCCCCTTTCTCAGAATTCAGGTACATGAATTGCCTGGAACGGTGGTGGGGACACAGGAGGAAGAACTGTTGTGGCATAGAGTGTGTCAGTGGATTTTGTTACCAGCCCCACCACGTTCCTTTCTCTAGTGTGGTGTTCTTGCACACCATAAATGCACATTTGTTTCCCATTATTGTGCACAGTCTCCACAGTTTCTTTCAAAGTAACCCTTTTTCTTTGGGAGATTATAAAATATATTATACCTCACCCTTCTGCCATTAAACGCTTCCTCTCCTTCCTGAGTGCAAGGATGTTCTAAAATGCAGTTACCAGCGCTGGGTGGGGAAATACCTGGAGATTTTGGGATGGAGCCTGGGGAGGGCGGGTTTTGGGGAAAGGAGGGACCTCAGCAGGGTATGTTGCCATAGAGTCCACCCTCCAAAGCAGCCATTTTCTCGAGAAGAACTGATCTCTGTAGTCTGGTGATCAGTTGTAATAGCAGCAGAAGGTCTCTCGAGAGAGCACCCATTTTGCTAATGGTGCAAGAGTGGGATTGTGTACCTTGCATGCAGTGCAGTTGGGGCTAAAGCCAGACCAGTCCATTCTCCAAGAACTCTCTGTGCCAGGGGTCCCCAACGTGGCATTCTGAGACAGGGTGGTACGTCCAACCACAAAATGACAGCCACAAGAAGCAGACCCCATCACAAAATGGCAGTCACAAGAGGCGGAGCCCATCACGAAATGGCAGCCACAAGAGGCGGAGCCCATCACAAAATGGCAGCCACAAGAGGCGGAGCCACACACAGAGAGGAAGGTTAAAGGCAGGCGAGAAGAAAGGCGGAGCCACACACAGAGAGGAAGGTTAAGTGCAGGCAAGAAGAAAGGTAATTAAACAATACACTGGGAAAGAGGAATGAGAGACTGTGGTGGCAGCTGCCACTGAAACAATGTTAATTGCACAGCCAATGAGAGTCTCAGTGGCAAATCAGAAGCTCTGCTGGGCAAGAGCCCCGCCTGACTCCACCCACTTTCTAAAAACATTTGGTGGGCCTCAAGAAAGGTGCCAGTGGGCACCCTGGCACGCATGGGCACCACGTTGGGGACCTCTGGGCTGTACCATTCAAACAGTGTTGGTTAGATAGTGCAGACCAAGATCTGCTTTACTATTAAGCGAATCTGTGTGGCTGCCTAGAATGGCCCATAAATATAGGGCAGTGGATGGTATAGCCTATGGGTGTTGGTGGCCCTTGCCGGCTCCCTAGCGCCTTGCCACGATTTGTGATGCTCCTGCAAGCACGTATGGAAGTACAGCAGAATTTTAAACAGTCTATGCGCACACATGCAGAGCTGATGTGCAGCACCATTGTGCAGGCTTGAGAGGTGAAAGGGAGCCGGCAGCGGTATTGTCTCTCGGTAGCCACATAATAAGAGGGCAAGTGGCTGTGGAAACGGCAGATTTTTCACCGCATCCCATTTATTTAGGGTGAACAAAGCATCTGATGGAGCTTGGTGCCTCGCATTAGTATGGGATTATGTTTGCAGTCCATCTGGCGTTGGAAGATATTTATGTATGAACCCAAAATAAGGAAAACCCAGTGATTGTTAGCCGTGGCTCTTCCTTTGAGCAGTACTATAATTCAGCTGTGTTTGTGCTCCATGATTTGTCAGTAAAGAAACAGCATATTTCTCACTTTGCGTGTGCGCGTGCATGCGTGCGTGCATGTAGGGTTTTTGTTGTTGTTTTACAGTGTATGGGGGGGAAAGATATCTTGCATGTGCTATTTTATATGCTAGCTGGCATCGCAGGATTGGTGTTTGGCAAATAAATAACCAAAGGCTAGCCTAGGAGTGATGCCTGCCCTCTGTTTCACTCCTCCAGCAAAAGGTGATTTAAGCATAATAACCCAAAGCAGAATTGCAGTCTGCAAGAGATGGGGCGTCTCCCAGAGGATTTCGGGAGCTATTTTGTTCAATGACCAGAGGCAACCTTTGTGGAAAACATATGGCTCAAAATTCCCTTATTTATCACACAGCTTCTCTCTCTTCATTTGCCCAGTTGTGTCTTCCCTTTCCTCTGTTTTTTTAAAATGCAGCTGCATTCAGTAAGCTCCCGCAGCTTGTAACCTCTTGTCGCCCAGAAGTACTTCTGATAGAGGATAGTATTCTTCACTGCCTGTCAAAGGCACCCACCCAAAAGGCCTTTGGAGCCGGCTGGGAGAAAGCTCCCATTGATTCCCCGTGATCCTCTTGGGTCAGGGCCCACGTTTGTCGCAAATCTGGTTATTTTTCTCCAGTGTTTATTTTGCCTTCTAAATCTCTCGCTATGAAATATGTAGTGTTGCCCTACAATTCATAAGGCGCTTTATAATGCACGCTTCCCAAGGAGCAACGGAATAAAATCAATGCTGTTGGAAAGAAAATCAACTTAGCTCAGCCATGAGTTGAATTATTATTATTATTAGTTTTGCAAAGCTGAGCGGCTCATACAGTATTGCTTTATGCGTCCATGCTTTTCCTGTTTAGGTTCTCCTACATAACGCAGCTTTTGCCACTTTCTTTTGGAAATGTCTGTGTTGCAGGGAAATGTCATGATATTCACAGAGTTGCTGGGTAAACAGGTGTCCCTTCTATATGTCCCTTCTGCTATTCTGCAGCTTAAATTTGGGGCAGCGAGACTGTGGAGTGATTTGGCGTAGTCCTACCTGGTTGTACATTCTGAGGTCTTCCTGTTTTATTGGGCAAGGAAGGAAGCTTGAATTGATTTAGGGGGGAAAACAGGCTTTATTTACATGGATTTCCCCACCCTCCAGCGTATGTTGTTATCATCCTGGCTAAAACCCAGTGACCCCGATTACCGTGAAGCTGTTTACAAGGTTTAGGTTAATTGGATTTCTTAACTACTTCCCAGGGCAGAAGTACAGCATGGATGGAGTTCAAAAAGCAGAATGCAGCCAGGATATAAACAGGAGGGAAGCGGCTTTACTTAATAATCGGCTAAGCACAAAGCGGGGCATGGGTGGGATGTGCGACTTGGTACAAAATAGTCTTCCTTTGCGCCCGCGCCGTGTCTCAGCATTGCCCAGTCCAGTCCTTACATGCGGCATCTTCCATGTAGATCTGGTAAGCATCAGTTTCAAAATGAGAGGCTTTTGAAATGGCTATGGCTTCACCTCGATGGTCTTTTCATTTGTGCTGTCTTGGGGAAAGATCATGAATAAAATAGCTCTGTGCAGTGTATGGTTGCCTATACAGACAGGGAGGCTGTGTGCTGGGGGTGTGTGTGTGTTCTGTTTTCATATACTTCTCCCCCCGCCCCTTCCCCCCCCTCTGTTCTTGATTCCCTTTTTAATGGCACAACATTGCACCCTCCAGGTGTGACACATAACTGCAGTCTTCTCACCTTAAAACTGAGCCATTTTTTGTTATTGCCGTTTAGAGATGCCGGATTTCCATTCAGACTTGGTAACCTTCTTCCATCTGCTTGTTTTCAGGCTTCCGAAGGCTCAGAGAAGCTCTTCTCTCCTGCAGCAACTAAAGGTAGGCAATTTAAAGACACATGAGACTTTCTCTGACATTTTGTTGTTGTGGTTGGTGTTTATCTGAAGGCATTGGGGGGGGGGGCAGGGAATGAAACTAAGAGATACACCGTCTATCAGCCACCCGTCAGTACTGCCTTTAGAACAGGGTTGCCTGCTCTAGGTTGGGAAATAATCTGGATTTGGGGATGGAGCCTGGGAAGAGCAGGAACCTCAGCAGGGTGCATGGCCATAGAGTCTACTCTCCAAAGCAGCCATTTTCTCCGGGGGAGTTGACCTCTCTAGTCTGGAGACCGACTGAAATATTGTGAAATATGCACAATACAAGAACTCTAGGGCACTCAGTGATATTGCTGAGCACTCAGGTTAGAGCAGATAAAAGGAAGTACTTCTTCACCCAAAGAGTGATTAACACATGGAATTCATTGCCACAGGAGGTGGTGGCGGCTACAAGCATGGACGGCTTTCAGAGGGAGGGGAGCAGGGGTCCATCAGTGGCTATTAGCCACGAGGTATAGATAGGAACTCTCAGTCTGGGGCAAGTGATGCTCTGTATTCTTGGTGCTTGGGGGGGAGAGAAATGGTGGGAGGGCTTTTAGTGTCCTGGCCCCACTGCTGGACCTCCTGATGGCACCTGGTATTTTTGACCACTGTGTGACAGAGTGTTGGACTAGATGGGCCATAGGCCTGATCCAACATTGGCTTCTCTTATGGTCTTATGTACTGGGAGATCTCCAGGCCCCAACTGGAGGTTGGCAATCCTACTTTAGAAGGAACTGGGCATCCAGTTGCCAGCCCCCCTCCCCCCCCCAAGATTCTCTGCTGGTTTCTTTGAGAGCTCAGAAGCTGTGGGAACACACAGCCACAGGTCCTTCCTTCCCTCTGTTCCAGTTGGAACCTTTGCCCACTCTCCCCAGCCCTTTTTTCCTCCCTACAGCCCTTAGGCCGAAATTTGGAATGGGGAGGGCTGGAGATACTCCTAAATGCTTGATGCTCTTTAATTAGTATGCATCAGGGGACTGACACCTGGCAGGAAATCGAGGAGCTATTCTGTTGACAGTGCGACGTCATTTCCGGCGTGAACCCATTTGGTGTAGATAAGTGTGCGGACTCTAATCTGGGAGGACCGGGTTTGATTCCCTGCTCCTCCGCTTGCAGCTGCTGGATGACCTTGGGCAAGCCATAGTTCTGTCAGAGCTGTCCTTGGAAGAACAGTCCTCAAGAGAGCTCTCTCAGCCCCACCTACCTCACAGGGTGTCTGTTGTGGGGAGGGGAAGGGAAAGGAGATTGTAAGCCGCTCTGAGACTCCAAGTGAAGGGCAGGGTATAAATCCAATCTCTTCTCTTCTTCTTCTTCAGCAGAAACTTTATGGTTTTACTATATACCATACTAAATCAGGAGACCTGGCAACTCTATTTGTTTTAGACCTACAAAATACCTTTTTAAAAAAAGCCTAACCAAATTGCGTCCCTATGAGGCAGCCCCAATGGGCAAATCCCAGGTACCGTCTTGAGCCAATGTGATGCTGGTTGGCTGTAGTCATAGGGCTGCCAATCTCCAGGTGGTGGCTGGATATCTCCTACTATTACAACTGATCTCCAGGCAACAAAGATCAGTTAATATGGAGAAAATGATTGCTATTATTTATTTATCGTGTGGCAGAGTTACGCACAGGAAGCAAATAATAATATAAAATATGTAACCAAGTTAATACAATGGGTATGCAGACCGATTGAAAATCCCCTAAATACTAATATCTAAATTTTCAATCCACCAAATTGCAGCCGGGGAGAGTTCAGAGAGCTCCGTCACATCTCCCTGGAAGGCACGACATTCACATTCCTGTGACAGAGGGACAATATTTTGTCAGGCTGCACCAGAATTGCATTCGGGTCCTGGTATTTTGCCCCCTTTAAACAACAGGTCTGCACAACTGCCAAAGCCACTTTGGAGGGTGGACTCTATGGCACTGTACCCCACTGAAGCCCCTCCCCTTCCCAAACCCCGCCCTCTTCAGGCCCCACCCCCAAAAACCTCCAGGTATTTCACAACCGAGAACTGGCAACCCGATTTAGCTGTGAAATTGACTTGGTGAAAAGGGCTTTGAGCCGACCTGTCCTCTCCCCTCTTCAGCCTCACTCCCTGCGAGGAAATAATAATTCAGTATAAAAGTATCGTCTGAGGTGGTGATGAATTGCCGTTTGTTGGCGTGAGGCGCTGTTTGTCTGCTGCAGACATTTCTTCCTGGTGCAAAGGGAGGGAGGCATTCAGTGCTGAGGCCCTTTACAAGGCATCCTCCCCACAAATAAATCAATGAACAAATAAGAAAAGGCTGTTTGTTTTGGCGTCCAGCTTTCTCACACATGGTGTGCTCAGACAGTCTCTCTTTCACATTTTCTTACCCCCCCTCCTCTTTTGCTGTCTGAAAGACAAGCCTTTCACCTCTGGGCAGATGGGAAAGAAGGCTGGTTGAATTATGAACTCCAAAATGCTCATAAGTCAAGGTGCTAAGGAAGCCTCTGTGGAACGCGGCTTCCTATCCCATTAGTACTCACTCAGAGTCTTAGGAACACTTACGGTGGAGCTGCCTTCCTTTTGAGAGCGAATCATTGGCAAATATTGTTGGACCACATGCAGATGGTATGATAAAGTGTGGTCTGTGTAAACCATGGTTTGTGCAACAAACTCTGGTTAATCTTCTAGATGTAAGAAACAAATCCCAGTTTGTGTGGGAATTGAGAAATCATAACAAATCCCAGTTAGTACATACTGTAGTTAACAAACTACGTACAAAAAATGCTAGTTTGCTGTTAACCAATAGACCTGGCATTGCAAGACCATCTGTATTCCTGTATTCCTGATACCACATAACCAGGATTGCCAAGCAAGGAGGGTTATGTGGGGGGCAGTGTTGCAGGATATATATTTTTTTTAAATGTGGCTTTGTATACTTACAATAAGCTCTGTACAGAAAGTGACAAAGGTAGCTGTAGGAATTGCCAGAAACTATGGTAAAACCATAGAGTTTCCAGTGATTCCTAAAAATTAGCTTCAGTCATCACTAGACACTCTGTGGTGAAGGTCTTGTGGCCTCATTCCTCTTTGTTTAATCAAGAGGACTTGAAGGAGTGTTCCCTCTAAGCTGAGTTAGTGTGAGCTAGCTCACAGTCTTTAAGCCTCTGGCTCATACATTTTTGTCTGAGCTCAGGAAGGATGGCTCCAGAGCAAGCTAATTTATGCAGCAGCCAAATCACTTGCTCACAACTTTCATGCCGGTAGCTTACAAAGCTGAATTTTTGCTCACAAGACTCCACAGCTTAGAGGGAGCATTGAAGTACCATTCAGTCCCATCTTTGGCCTTTCATCTTCTATAAAGAAACAGATATGAAGCAATAAAAAAAGTTCTTCAGGCATGTTACATCAATACTTCCCTCCTCACCACCAGTGTTCCCTCTAAGCTGAGTTAGTGTGAGCTAGCTCACAGTTTTATAGCCTCCGGCTCACACATTTTTGTCTTAGCTCAAGAAGGATGGCTCCAGAGCAAACTAATTTATGCAGTAGCCGAATGCAGTAGCTCACTCACAACTTTAATGCCAGTAGCTCACACAGTAGAATTCTTGCTCACAAAACTCCACAGCTTAGAGGGAGCGTTGCTCACCACTGAGGAAAATACACCTTGTTCCCAGACACTAATAATTCCTCACAGCACAGATGGTGTGATTCTGGTGCATGTCGGTGCCTTAGTGCCCTGTTTTTTAGGAAATTCAGCATGTCCCTGTCTCCTGCCCTTTGAGAACATAGTCAAAACACTTAAACGTTTTTGAAACTTCAGTTGTTTATGGCAGCATTCCCAAACTTAAACGTTTTTGAAACTTCAGTTGTTAATTGTTAATGGCAGCATTCCCTTATGACTGTTGAGTCTTATACTGGCACTTTGTATCTCGAAGAGCAACCCTAAGCAAGCCTGCTCAGAACCCAGCTCAGATCTATCCAGTGGGGCTTGCTTCCAAGAAAGTTTTCTTAAGGATTGCAGTGTAACTGTACCTGCTCATTTCACAGGCTCCGAAATTGTTCCATCCTTGGCCACATTACTCAAGAGTGTGATTAATATAGAATAATATTATTAAGAGTGTTGAGGCCGTATCTCTAGCATGCAACTCTTAACATCTTTGCTAGTCGACGATAATAAATTGCCTTTTCAACAAGCTGCGGTTAATTTGGGCAGGGATTATTGCAAGTAGTAGCCCAGAAACCAGAATTAGACCTTGGAATATAAATCTCCAAGGCGCTGATGGTTTTCCTTCATATCAGTAGAAATCAGTGATCCTCTGAGGTATCTTAACCTAGCTTCTGAACATTATAATTTTTAGAACGTTGGTGTTTGATTTCAAGAAGGTTGAACCGTCACAGCTTTTCTTCCAATAACCCTGAAGGGCTGTAGCTCTGTGAGGAAGCTAAGGTCCCTGCCCCACATAAAAGTAAAACTGCTGGACTCATAACCCATGGTCTCTACTGGTTTGAAATGGAGTTGTTGGTTTGTAAGGTGATGGGGAAGTGTCCTCAAATTGCAGCCCACTTATGATGATTCCGTAGGGTTTTCAAAGCAAAAGATGAACAGAGTTGGTTTGCCGTTGCCTTCCTCTGCATAGCAACCCCAGATTTCCTAGGTGCTCTCCCACCCTAGCACTAACCAGGGCCCACCCTGCCTAGCTTCTAGATTTGCCAAGATTGGGCTGCCCTGGGCTATCCCGATCAGGGCATCTTCTCAGGATGACTGAATATTCCTAATGCTGAAGGGTATTCCTAATGCTGAAGAGCCAGTTTGGTGTTGTGGTTAAGTGTGCGGACTCTAATCTGGGAGAACCGGGTTTGATTCCCCACTCCTCCACTTGCAGCTGCTGGATGACCTTGGGCAAGCCATAGTTCTGACAAGAGCTGTCCTTGAAAGAGCAGTTCTTGAAAGAGCTCTCTCAGCCCCACCTACCCCAAAGGGGAGGGGAG